TACGAAGCTCAGTGGTCACTCTGCCATGTCACGTCCCCTAGCTTCTGCTGGGCACCAGGGGGCCAAGGGGAAGAGTAGAAAGGGAGTCATGAAAAGCCCTGCCCCTGTTTTCCTTACCTGCATGGAAAAGGAAGTTATTGTAGGAGAGGCATGGTGGGGAGGGGGCTGCTTTCTTGAACCTTAAAAAGGGGGAGGAGGATAAAGGAATAGTCTACGGATGCCTAGCTCCGGTGAAATTGGAGGCGATTTTGGCTTCCTATGGAGATGGGCCTAAAACCAAAGCTACTCAGGCTAGTATTTCCTCCCCATTGCTCACTCTGGTTAGGGCAGCTCTTTGTCTTCTTGTGTTGGGTTGCACTCTTCATGTTTTTTTATTATCTTAGATTATGATTCAACCTTCCCTTCCCTTATAGATTCTAACTAATTACAGGTATTCATCCGATGTGCCTGTGCTCACCGTGGGGGAGGGAACGAGCATGACGCAGCTGGGCAGAATATCCCTGAAGAGAGGACAAGGTCAAAGGTGGCTTACCTCTGGCCCCTGTGATGAAGCGGTGCTGACCTTGGGAGAACACTGTGAAAGGGCCAAGGAGAAGGGTTTTCCTCTGAGTCTATGGACACCCTGAGGGCAGGGGTGTAGCCGGCTTCCCAGGAGGCTTAGCTCTATTCTTTTTAAGGCAGCCCCTTAAAAACCAACCAATCCCACCACCATTTTGTTAGAAGGAGGCCTATTTTAATGGTTAAAAAAACTAAAAATGAGCATTCATACAGGAATTTATTTTTGACAGCAATCTGAAGGTACAGCTAGTTTTCTTTCCTTTAGGATTCTTCAGGATTCCTGGGAATCAATAAATGATAACTGCTGCAATAGTAATACCTCTCATTATACTTGAAAATAGATTGTATGTATATTTAAAAGATGTTATATTTAAAGTTTATATACTGGAAGTCTGGGTTAAGGCTTTAAAATTTTCTATCTTAATAGAAATCTAATAATGATCCTTAGGATTATTTAATTAAAAAGAAACCTCAACCCTGAAACCAAGATGTATCAAAGTAGACAGGATTAGGCTTTAAACTTTCTTGATGATGACGAAAATACTTAGCTAGTTCTGAAACAGAAAATTCTCTGTATGTGTGACCGACACCAACTAAGTACTATGAAGTTCCACACACCCTGAATGTGGTTTTGACTCGTAATGGCTAAACAGATTAAAATAAGATTACACATGTGCCTACCAGCAAAACCACGGATCTCTGAGCCAATGACAAGTTCCAAGTATGTGTTCTGAGATCAGGGGTGAAGTTGAAAGTCAAGTTTATTTTTCAGATCATAAGTGTTTGATTCAAGTTACTTCTCATCTGAGCCCCCATTTCCATGCCTTCGCCACCCGACTTGCTCAATTATGAGAGCTGCATTGATAATGTGGGGCCCAGAGGAACCACCAAGGCTGCTGGTGAAAACAGGCACTGCTCATAACACCCCCATGATCCTCCAGTTCGCTTTGGAAGTGGGAGGCTCTACATTTCTCTCTGGACAAATGTGACATGAGGTAGCAGGAAAGCCAGGATTTGAGGGAGCAAATGTCAAGAGAACCACAGGCATCAGTACCTACCTGGCTTAAGTTTGGTCTAAATTATAATTGATTCCATTATATAACTAAGTGTCTCCACATCAAGTTCCTAGCTAGCTAATGCTATAAATAGGTGTGCATTCTTTATCTTTTTATTGATGTATAGTTGATATGCAATATTATTATTAGTTTCAGGTGTACATTGATACAATAATTACATACATTACTAAATGCTCATCATAAGTGTAGTTAACTGTCACTATACAAAGTTATTATATTATTGGCTGTATTTCCTATGCTGTACTTTACATAATAATGACTTATTTAACAATTGGAGGTTTTTATCTCTTTTCTCCCTTCACCTATCTCACCTATCCCCTTCCTCTGTGGCAAGCACAATAGTTTGTTCTCTGTATTTATCAATATATTTGTTTTACTTTTTTGGATTCTACATATAAATGAAATAATAGGATTTGTCTTTCTGTCTGACTTGTTTCACTTAGCATATGTATTGTTCATTTCTGAAATGTCATTGAGATTAGAATCTCTGTAGCCGTGGCCAAGAAGTTTTGGTTTGGTTTATTTTCTAGGAAGAAACAGTGAGGGCAGGGAAATTATGGCCTTTTAAAAGTCAATTAAGAAGAATAAGAAATCAGTTAAATTTAATAAGGAACACAAATCCCATGCAAAGCTCATTTTTCCTTTAAATACATTTTTTTCCAACTACTCATGACATATTAGAAACAGCTTACCCTCGGAAAGCTCCAGCATAGAAAGGAGTCTGCCTGTCTAATCAAGCAGCATAATAAATATGCCATCACAGGTGACTTCCATCAGAATTCAGAGCAAAGCTACCATAAGCCTTCATGCAAAACATGCAGCATTTCTATTTTAAAAAAAGACAAATACATGAACAGGTATGTATATAATATAAAAGGTATTATTTTATATATACTGATAAAATGGGCAGCATTGAAAATGTGGTGTGTTTTCTATATTGAGGAAAGAATTGTAGTATTATTTATAGCTTTCTTTATATTGACTTAGTAGTAACAATAATAATAAAAATAAAAGCTAAGATTACTAGCTAATACTGTTATTTCTACTTTATAGATGAAGAGGTCTGTCTGAGACAGGAAGAGGAAGTATCGAAGTGAGGACCTCCCTTTAAGACCGGCTCTGCGGACCTGGCTGTCTTGGTTTCACAGGGAAGGAAGCAGGGGTCACGCATTCTGCATCAAGGATAACTTGGTGCTTCTCACACTATTTATTCACAGATACTCTGTCTCCCATTTGGCTGCTCTTTGAATTCCTTTAGGCAGGAATCCTACAGAGTAAGTTGGGAGTACACTTTAGGCCATAAGATATCACATTTCCATCCAACCATACCTTCAACCTCTAAGAGTTTCAATTGTCACAAAGAACCTGAGAAATAGAGATTACTAACCTCATCATATTGGTGAGAAAACAGGCCCAGAGTTTAACTTGATGAGGGCCACACAGCCAGTAACAGAACCAGGATGTGACAATAGATCAGTGCTCCAAAGACCTTACTTTTTCTGCTTACCACATTTGAAGAACAGTTTTCACAACATTTCAGTCAGACACACCTTTAAAACAAGTATCTATGAAGCTACATGACATGTAATTATGTATGTATGTATGTAATAAGAGGTCACATCTGCGGGGAAAAAAAACCCTCAGTTTTCCTGGTTGTAGCTATAAAGAGTCATCCCAAGCATCATTAAGTGCTTTTTAATAGATATTTCCTTAACTCAAATGTTAAGGCTTCCTAGAGTTAAGAAGTGGCTTTTAAGCTTATTGATTCTAGTAACAGCTGGATACAAAGGGTAATTACTCACTGAAGTAATAGACATCTTCCCCTCTTATGCTTATATCCAAGATCTGTATTCTGTTCCATGCAAGAGGGAATCATTTTTTTCTATATCTCTATTGTTATCAGGTAATATGTCAGAATATGTTTTATTAAGGAAAACACTGGATTTGGGGTCAGCATTTAATCAATTCTGCTTTGAGCACAATGAGGTTATAGTCTGGGTGGTTGGTTAGCAAGATTCCAAGGAGTTAATGGGGCTGGGTGGGAAGGAGGGTATTCTAGTGCATTTCACTCCGACATCTTCTTCCCTCTTAATTCCTGGCCTCTGTGCTTTTAATCTATGATGTAGTCCTGACACAAAGTGGTAATTGAATCTCTGCTGTGCTGTTCTTCCAGTTCTCTCCCTTAGAGGAGAGCACCTATTTTAAAGGTGGCATCTAGAACTAAGATTAAATAGTAGGAGATAAGGATAGTGTTGTCTGTAGATCCCTCCCCTCCACAGCATAGCCACACATCACCTCACCTCATTGGTGGACCCGCCATCATGAGGGCACAGTCTTCTGGTCCCTCTGCAAAACAACTGGTGATGCAAATGTGCTTACTTTTGCTGGTGATAGGAGTTCCTAGCATACTGGCAAATTGACTGCTGGTATTTGGTCCAGATGATGGCTTCTCTCAAATCTATGATTTTTGGAAGCCTCTGTCTGAGGTTTTCTGTATAATGCTTTTCAATAGGGACTGATTCTACTATCAAAAAAATTCTCAGAACTCAAATACCTAAATCTCAATTTGTCGATCTATCTAGAATTAATCCAGGTAGTTTAGAAGTTTCAAGGAAGTAGAAGTCATTCAACAAATACTTGACTACCAATAATAAGCGAGCACTGTCCTAGGAGCTGGAAATAGAAGTAAAATACACAAACCAAATGATGCCATTACAGTTTGATATACTATTTATTTAATTATTAATATGGACAGCCTATTCCACATTACAGATGTCTTTCAAAACCTATTATAAAATATAGTCCATTATCCAGCCGAGAAGACAGTAAAGATCATTCTTACAGTAAGTATAGCATAATCACTCATAATAATGGTCCGTTTCTTGGTCATCAAAGGGAAAAGTCAGTCAAAAGTTTCTTTACCGCCACCGGGTTTTAACTTTCTTGAATTATAGCTGTTTCAGCGTCATAAGTCCAAATATCAGCCCCCTGAGATGTACAGCATCTCATGTTGGAAAGGAAGGAGCTTCAGTCACCTGTGCCAGCCCATTCTAGAGCCCATCTGACCCTTCAGCTGGTATTTGACAGACTTGGGCATGGGCAGAAGGTAGGTATATCACAGGGATGTTTTGATTAATATACAAAAATTGTGTTTCAAAGCTCTAAAAACCGACTTGGTGGCAGTGAAGAGTATACTATATGTGGTTGGTGGGGGGTGGTCTTCTCATTTCTTGAGTGTTGATGTTGCCACCTTTCCTGATTGCCTTTAAGATCTTCAATCCTCCGTGTCAGTGGAGGTGGGAAACTAGTAGTATGAGCCATCTGCAGAATGAATCAGACTGGCTACTATGGCTTTTATAACCTTCCTTTTTTTAGTCTAGAAAAACTTATTTCTTAATCTTTTCCTATGTCCTTCAGGTTCTAATATAAGATTTAAAAGGACTACAACAGAGGAAACTTCTTGCTTTCAAGCTAAATGATGAAAAACAGCAAAAAATAAGAATTCATTCTTCAGTGTGCTATAGTCAATTTCCTCAGTTGGAAACACATGCCACATAACTTTTAAAGTGTTCGACACTGCTGATGAATTGACAGATGAAGTTCTGAGGTGAACCTTACATATACCAACGAGTCTAAAATACAGGCAAAAACAAGATGTACTAGTATCATAGAGATTCTTCAAACCCTTAGTTTCATGTTGAAAACTACAGAAGTTTTCAACATTAGGTTATTGATGACAATTAAATATGAAATAAAAAAACCTCAGGAAGTCTTGCCACATTTGTGGCACTTTCAAGAATCTACATAGTTAGGAAGGAGAAACCATAGGGTAAAAAATCCAGTGAGAGCACTGGATTTTATTTAACTCTAGCTACCATGGATTTGACAGTAGTAAGACTAATGAATGAGCAGCCATACAGTTTTGTTGGTCACTGTGCTTTCCAAGCACCAAAAAAATGGAGCTATTTTTATTATTCCACTCCTTTAATAAGCTAGACTGATCCTGCTGCATTCTTGTGTCTAATTTACCAGTACATTATTATGTAGTTTACCAAGTGTGAGGAGCAAGTCATTATGTAGTACCAAGTTTTACGGCATCATAGGACTACAACATGCACATTCTACTTAGTGTAGCTCAAGCAACAGGAATACAAGAGAACAGTTATGGGTGGAGACTTGTTTCTTAGCAAATTCATGTTCACACTAACTATGGATTTGGAAATCTTATTGGGCAGGTACCTACAGCAGTCCATCAGCTGGTATTGGAACATCCCACGCATGCACAAGTGATATGGGAGAGAATGAAGCAGAAGAGGCAGCTGGGTGGAGAACAGAGGGGGAAGCAGAGACTGGACGATGCCATGTACCAAGGAAGGGCGGTTCTCAGCTTCCCACAGTAAGTCTCTGCTCTGTGAGAGAGGCCTGTTGGGCAACACTTTTGTTCTCATGACTGCGCAATTTTGATACAACATCTAGAAAGGCCAAATCCTGTACTTCCTTGTGTAGAGATTCTGGAAGACAAAACAAGATAGCAGATATGCTTCTGTCAGGTTGTTCCAATCTATCCAATACATATACTCAAATGTTTATTTGGATAATAACAAGTTATAAAACAATTCTGGAAAGAAACATAGCAAAGGCATAGAAATGTCTTCTTTAGAGATGTGTTATAGTAAATCAGAGAACCTTTACTTGCCACATTTATATAAAGATAAATCAAATGTCAAATTCTACAGTCTAAGTTGGTTAGGATAATGAGTTAAATACAGCTCATTGTATGATCTCAAGGTTTAGTTATATATCCCCTAATCCTAATGAAGTCCAATGACCTTCAAAAAAATCACAGGTCTATTTCAAATTAATACTGTGGCAAATGAAAAGGTTGTTCACATCCTTTCAACAGATTTCTGTGATAGGCTTCATTTTAGATTTTTCATCTTCCCCTCCCTGGCTTTCTTCCCCCATTAATTTCAATTATTTGAAAATACAATATTCAGGACTCTGAGAACTGCTATATGGGAAGAATGAGGTATAAAACTAGAACCAATGTTTCTAGTAGAAATAGAAAAATCAATCTTAAAATTCAGATGGAATCTCAAGGGAATCTGAATATCTGAAACAGTCTTAAAATAAAAAACCCAATGTTCTCACATTTCCTAATTTCAAAACCTACAACAAAACAGTGGTGCTGGTAAAACTGGATAACCACAAGCAAAAGAATGAAGCTGGACCCTACCCTAACCATCAACAGAAATAAAAGTAAGAGCTAAAACTATAAGACTCTTACAAGAAAACAAGGGAAAACATGACATTGGATTTAACAGATTTAGCCAAGATTTCTTGGATGTGCACCAAAAGCACAGGCAATAGAAGGACAAACAGATTTTTAAACTTCTGTGTATCAAAGGATATGTCAACATAGTAAATGGAATGGGAGAAAATATTTGCAAGTCATTATATCCAATAAGGGATTAATATCCAGAACTCATAAAGAACTCAAGACAGAAATCACCCCTTTCCTGCAGGGGGAATAAACAAATAGGAAGACAGTGAATTTCTCATAAGAAACCATGGAGGCCAGAAAGCAGCACAACAGTTTTCAAGAACTGAAAGAACAGAACTGTCAAACCCAGAATTCTATACTCAAGAGAAAATACTAGACATGAAGGGGAAACCAAAACATTTTCAAAGGAAAACAAAGGATTCTTCGCTAGCAGACCTAACTTAATAGCTAAAGGAAGTTCTCTAAACAGAAAGAAATGTTTAAAAAATGAATCTTGGCACATCAGAAAGAACGATAGATATGTAGCAAAGATATTGATGAATATAGATTTTCCTTTTCTCTTGAGAATTTTAAAGTTATGTTTGGTGTAAACAAAAATTTTAGGCCCCTCCTCATGGACTCTGGTCCAAGACAGGCCACCTGAGGGCCCTGGCTGCCCAAAACCCAGCCCCCCCAGATGGTGGCGTGAGTAGAGCAGTGGAAATCTCCTCCCAAAACCATATATATTTTTGAAAATTCAACAAATACAACTACCCCTAAAAGAGAGACCAGAAGACACAGGGCAACAGCCAGGCTACATCCACACCTGCGAGAACCCAGCACCTCGTGAAGGGGGTAAGATACAAGCCGTGGCCTGGCAGGACCTAAGCACCCCTCACCCCAGCTCCCGGCAGGAGGAGAGGAGTTGGAGCAGGGAGGGAGAGGGAGCCCAGGACTGCTAAACACCAAGCCCCAGCCATCCGCACCGGAGGGCAGACACACAGTGTATGGGGTGCTGGGTACTAGTGAAAATGGGACAGTAAAACCTGCGAGTGGGTCCCCGCAGCCCGCGCCCCTGGGACAAAGAAAAGCGAGTGCTTTTTGAAAGTCTTAAAGAAATAGGGACCCCACAGCTGGACGGAAGCGTCCTGGGACATTTAGCCCAGCAGCTGGGAATCCCAGGGAACTCCAGGCACCCCAACCCCCTGGACAGCAGCGAAGCTCAGAGGCCCCTCACAGAGATAAACAGCCTCCTGCCCATTTCCCCTCCAACACCGCTCCACCATAGCAGAGCAGGAGCCTGAGGCAGCAGGGCAGAGCTTCTTTCACAGCGGCCGGGCAAGAATTAGAAACCCCATCTGCGCACAGCTGCCCAGCACAAGCTGCTAGGGGTTGCTGTTCTCCCAGGAGAGGAAGGCCACAATTAGCAAGAAGGGATGTTCTCCCAGTCAACACATGCGCCAGCTCCTCATAACTACCTTTATCACCATGAAAAGGCAGAAGAATTTGATACAGACCAGGCTAACCCAGACATCCTCCTCTGAGAGGGAATCTGGGGAGATAGACCTAAACAATCTCCCTGAAAAAGAACTCAAAATAAAGGTTATAACCATGCTGATGGAGCTGCAGAGAAATATACAAGAGCTAAGGGATGACGTCTGGAAGGAGATTACAGAAATGAAACAATCTCTGGAAGGATTTATAAGCAGAATGGATAAGATGCAAGAGGCCCTTGATGGAACAGAAACCAGAGAACAGGAATGCATAGAAGGTGATGCAGAGAGAGATAAAAGGATCTCCAGAAATGAATCAATATTAAAAGAACTGTGCGACCAATCCAAACGAAACAATATTCACATTATAGGGGTACCAGAAGAAGAAGAAGAGAAAAAGGGATAGAAAGTGTATTTGAAGAAATAATTGCTGAAAAGTTCCCCAAACTGGGGGAGGAAATAATCGTTCAGACCACGGAAGTACACAGAACTCCCAACAGAAGGGACCCAAGGAGGACAACACCAAGACACATAATAATTAAAATGGCAAAGATCAAGGACAATGACACAGTTTTAAAGGCAGCCAGAGAGAGGAAAAAGGTCGCCTACAAAGGAAAACCCACCAGGTTATCATCAGATTTCTCAACAGAAACCTTACAGGCCAGAAGAGAATGGCATGATATATTTAATGCAATGAAACAGAAGGGCCTTGAACCAAGAATACTGTATCCAGCATGATTATCATTTAAATATGAAGGAGGGATTAAACAATTCCCAGACAAGCAAAAGTTGAGGGTATTTGCCTCCCACAAACCACCTCTACAGGGTATTTTAGAGGGACTGCTCTAGATGGGAGCACTCCTAAGGCTAAACAGATGTCATCAGAGAAAATAAAATCACAGCAAAGAAAGCAGATCAACCAAATACTAACTGAAGGCAAAAAATAAAATCAACTACCCACAAAAGCAGTGAAAGGAAACACAAAAGAGCACAGAATAAAACACCCAACATATAAAGAATGGAGGAGTTGGAATAAGAAGAAGGGAGAGAAATAAAGAATCACCAGACAGTGTCTATAATAGCTCAATAAGCGAGTTAAGTTAGGCAGTAAGACACTAAAGAAGCTAACCTTGAACCTTTGGTTACCACGAATCTGAAGCCTGCAATGGCAATAAGTACATATCTTTCAATAATCACCCTAAATGTAAATGAACTGAATGCACCAATCAAAAGACACAGAGTAATAGAATGGATAAAAAAGCAAGACCCATCTATATGCTGCTTACAAGAGACCCACCTCAAACCCAAAGACATGCACAGACTAAAAAAAACCCAGCCCCTTCAGCCTCGGGGAGACCTAGCCTCAAGAAACCAAACAGCTGCAGTTGCCAGGAGGCAGTATGTATGTCTTCACAGTGCTCAGTGCTTCAGAAAGATGGATGAACAAGTCCAGGTATTATAATAAATCCAGGTATTATCAGCATCCTTGGCATTTCCCTGCAATTATAGTCTCTACTTTAAATACCTGTCCTGAGGTGTGCCAAGATGGCAGCATAGAAAGAGTCTGAGCCCACCTCCTTCCACATGCACACCAAACCGACATCTACACACACAGCAGTTCATCCTGAGGAGAAATGGGAGCCTGAGTGAACCTTCTGTACAAGGAGGGATTAAAAAGACAGCAAGAGAGATGGTAATGGAGGGATTCCCCACCCCAGCCCTGCAGTAGGGAGGCATATCACTGAGATACTTGAGCACAGACTCACCTGCCCTCAGGCACAGGCAAAAAGCTGCCAGTTGGTGGGTTCAAACCCCATTGCAACTACAACTGAAGAGAGCTGGTTTTCAAAACAAGCACCTGCCAAATAGCAGGGGAACTGCTGGAACTCTCTCTGGGACCAGAGGTGTTTGTCAGTGCCATTGACTGCATTACCCCCTGGACACTGCTGGTGTGAACAACAGGGTGAACACACCAGCTCCAGACATGACGGAATGGCCTCCCCGCCTCTGCCCACACTCAAACACACCTATCAGATCCAGCCAAAAGTACAGTCTCAGGGGACATTCCTAAGCAAGCCTACACCTTCAAGACTAGGAAAGGTAGCCTTTTTGCCTAAGATGTAGGAACAAACACATTCAAACAAAATGAAGAGATATGGGAATATGAAATGAAATGAAAGAGTTAAGCAATCTATCTGACAAAGAGTTTAAAATAATGGTTAAACAGATGTTGACCAGATTTTGGAGAGAGAGAAAGAGGTAGGAAACTTAATTAAAAGAAATAGCTGAAAAATCCTCAACCCAGGGAAGGAAATAGCTATCCAGGGCCAGGAAGCAAAGATAATCTAAAACAAGATGAACCTAAGGCGATCCATACCAAGACACATAATCATTAAACTATCAAAGATCAGAGACAAAGAATATTAAAAGCAGTGGGAGAAAGCATGAGTTACACAATGGAAACCAGTAAGTCTATCAGCTGATCTTTCAGTAGAAACTCTGCAGCCAGAAGGGAGGCGCATGATATATTCAAAGTGCTGAAAGAGAAAGACGTACAACCAAGAACACTACCCAGCAAGGTTATTATTCAGAATTGAAGGAGAGAGAGTTTCTCAGATAAACATAAGCTAAAGGAGTTCACCATCAGTAAATCAACCTTACAAGAAATGCTAAATGAACTTGAGAGGAAAAAAAAGACCATAAATAGAAACAAGAAAATAATGAAAAGAAAAAACCTCCCTGGTAAGAGCAGATA